TCTGGTCAAGGTGACTCGAGCAAAACAAGTACTGGGGAGGTATTTACTACTATAAGAATATGTTTATAGTGTTATATATATATTTTTTATACATAATGGTACATATTTATCTGTATAGTTATATAATTATATATATTTATAGATGCACACTTTGAATTTTCATTGTCAATTACTTTTCTGAAGCCACACTTCCACAAAGCAATCTGTTAAGGGTCTACTAATAGATGGTTCTGCTGTTGTCTGTTAGACTGCTGACAGCTCTGCTGTGTAATCTTCTGTGTGCCACACACACTGTCATGTGCTTGGGAAGTGGTGTAATTGCCAGAATTCTGTTGGCTAAGAACTTTGATCCCAGCTTTTCATTACTGCTGTCCATTTTCCCAGGTGCTTTCAAGGTTACAACTGCAAGTCTTCTAACTTTCTTTTCATTTACTGGGTTTAACAGGCAAGCAGTTATCTGGAAATTTCACTGGGTCTTATACTCAGACCAAAACTTCTCAACCTATTGGATTTTTTTGATGAACTGAGGCAAGCCCTAAGAATCTCTGAACTGCCAGTGACCCAATACCATACTTTCAGTAACAATCAATAGAAATTTTATAGGACAGATCTTCACAGAATAAATTAGGTGAAGTTTTTCCCATGATCCTTTCCTAACTTCTAACAATTTGCGTGTCAGACTTTTGGACCAGGACTAGCGCTAACTTTTTTTTGGGGGGCTGTTAACTTCAGCCAGCCTTCTTTCCTGGGGTGGGGGAGGGAGTGTAATTCCTGCCAGCAACTAAACCCCAGAGCTGTTCATTCACACATGGACATACACAGACACACAGACACAGAGACTCCTCGGGAAACGGGGGCAAGAATCATAAAATAATAGAGTCATTAAGGTTGGAAAATAATGGTGAGATCTAGTCCAGCCACCAAACTTGTTGACCACCACCATGTTCACCATTGTATCACATCCCCAAGTGCCATATCCACACGTTTTTTTAACTCTCCCAGAGATCATGACTCCACCTCCGGAATCAGAAAAGTCAGAAAACTTGTGGGTTGAGACAACAGGTTTAAAAGATAAAACAGAAACTGTGCAAGGAAGGAAAACAAGGGATTCATACACAACTTCATAAGGGCAGGCAGGTGTTCAGCCATCCCCAGAAAGCACAGCTCCATCACATGTAACAGTGACTTGGGAAGACAAACACCATCACTCTAAACATCTCCTCTTATTTTTTTTTTCCTCCAGCTTTAGGTGCTGCTCCTGCTGTCCTGTGGTGTGGAATATCCCCTGGGTCAGTGGGGTTCAGCAGTCCCATCTGTGTCCCCTTCCAGTTTGTTTTGTACCTGACTCCTCATTGGTGGGCTGAGAGGCAAAAAAGGGCCTTAACTCCGTGCAAGCAAGGATCAACAGTAATAAAATACTAACATTTCCAGCACAAAACAAAAACACAGCTCCATACCAGCTACTGTGAAGAAAATTAACTCTTTTCCAACCAAAAGCAGTATAGAAAGAATACAGACCATCTAACATTAGGAGTTAATATTATTATGAATTCAATAGCAAAACGAGGCATAAATTTCATCTTAGGAAAGCAAACTGCCTCAGGACAAATATTGTTACTGTTAAAACCCTTTCATGTGACCCTTTATTGTATGAAGTTCTTGTAATGCCTTAAAGCTAGTAGAAAGGATAAAAATGTCCACTGTCTGTTTCATCTATGATGAAAAGCAGCAGCAAAAGCTAAGGAACAATGAATTAATTTACCACACTTTCTGTAACTCTATGCAATATTCTCTTTGCACATAACTTTTCAGCATGGTGATACCTTGGAAAAGAATGACATTTTTCATGAAAATAAGGATTTAAATTCATGATATAAGAAATGCTGTCAGTATGTTTTATGTATTGGAAACACTTTACAAATGTCTGTTTTTTTAGTACTTTAAATTGAAAACAATCAGTTTTCATGATCAGAAAGTAACAAAAATTTGACTAAATTAAAAAGAAAATAAAAAAAAAGAAAAATAATTTAAAAATCATAAATAACAAAAAAAAAATTTCATTCTCTTTTCTACTGTTCCCATTTCCTTCACAAAGGGAAAACTGTATTGATCATTGAAATTCTTATCTCAAGAGATGCTTGAAACGACTGTGTCCTTGAGAGCACTTGTCCTAATTTATTGCCTAATTAAGAGCCACATACCTATTCCTTACTTGCTCTCTCCTATAGGACTTCTGGTGGTCAGAGGCTCAGGATATTACAATTTTTCATGACATAGAAATATAATAAAAAAGAAAAATTACTTTTTAAAAAAGTGCCAACAAAACAAAACCCCCAACTCTTGACTTCAGAGAAAACATACAGACAAAATAGGAGTAGAAATCTCAGGAAGTGACAGAACTTCGACCTAATAAAGATATTTATATTGCTATGGAGCAAGATGCTGTGATCATGATGCTGCATTAACACAAACTAAAAAAGGCCCCACTTCCATTGGAAAATTAGCTTTTCAGAGTTTGTTTCGGGCCAAGTATTGTCACACACTGTGCCATGGATCCCTTGTATTAGTTTTAAGTAACAGAATTTTGGTAGCTGGTAGGAGATGTGTGGGGATGGCTTCTGTGAGAGCATGCCAGAAACTTTCCCCCATGTCAAACAGAGTCAGTTCCAGCTGGCTCCAAGACAGACCCATCACCAGACAAACCTGAGTCAATCAGTCTCTAGCACCTCCGCAAAAATCTTGTTAAGGAAAGAGAAAAAATACTGTGTAACAGTAGCTGGGAGAGAGGAGTGAGATGTGGGAGAAACAGCTCTGCAGACACCAAGGTCAGAGGAGAAGGAGGGGGAGGAGGTGCCCCCAGCACTGGAGCAGAAACTCCCCTGCAACCTGCAGTGCAGATGAGAGCGACATAAGTTGTTCTCCTAGAGGTGGATTTGTCCCAAAAGAAGCTGTTACCCCACGGGGAGTCCCTGCTGAAGCAGTCTCCTGGAATGAACTGTGACCCTCTGGGGACTTAAACTAACCTCAAGTCAAAAGTCTGAATTACACCTTCCACTAGACCAGGTGGTTTAGAGCCCAGTCCAACCAGATCCTGAATGTTTCCAGGGATGGGGCATCTATCACTTCTCTGTGCAACTTGTTCCAGCGTTTCACTACCCAATTTGGCTTCACTTTAGTTGCACTGAAGCAACTCTCACATTCCACACAGTAATATCTCACTTTTTTGACCCTTATCTTCATTTATTTTAAACAAATTCTTGTATTCTATAAGCCTCATTGAATAGTTTTGCTTTAATACCAAGCAAAATTAATAAAATATTTTTGCAAAATATCTGGCAGTCTGAAGCCCATGAATTCATTCTATTAATGACAATAAATAGAACCCAGTTATATTGTATGCTCATCGTGCATAGAAGGCCTTTAATAAGGATGAAAACATATCTCAATACATAGGAAGACTTTCTTAATAATGTCTCTACATAATTACTTCAGTATTCCTACCGTATAGTTTGAAATAGAAAGTTTTACCCTACTTCTCCTGTCTCATAAGCACCTTTTTCTTATTTAAATTGCATTTGAATAGAGGGATTTACATATTGTTAATTTGTCCCTTGGCCTTTTTTTTTTAAGCTTCTTGATTCTCCCAGTAAAGAATGGCAGGGGTACAAATTGGCAGAGATTTGAGAATCTTCTTCCAAAAATTGAAGATTTTGCAATAAGAGAATACAATAAAATAACACCCTCAGGGCACAATGTTCAAAACTTCTTTTACAACCATTATACATGAATTTACTCTTTAATTAAAAACGTGGAGTGTGAGAAGGAAATTATATGATTGGTAACACATGATGGAAATGAAGCATGAAAAATTTTCTCTGGACCAATACTGCTTATATATAAAAATCTGGTATTATAACCATTTCTTAGCCTGGATTCTGCAGCTGCAGGCTGATTAAAACTCAGCAGGAAGAGCTATAATAAACAAATACCACCTGCTGCAAGAACAGGTGTTTGTGTCTTCATTTAGAAACCAAAGTAAAACAGAAGATGCCAAGGGGCTGAAGTAGATCAGTATTTGCATTGACATAATTTGTTACTACTTGTCCTTGAACTTAAAAGCATATTATTATGCTTTCAAGACTCCTTGATAGGGATTCAACACTAGTTTCTAGTAATTAGGAAGCTCCTTGCCTTCTCTGTTCAGCTATCCATTCTCAATATTATGTGCATTCAATGAAAGTATTTGTTTCTCCATTTAGAGGTGTATAGCATGTTTTTCACTATGAACATTTTATGCACAAAAATAAGTAAAACCAGCATTTGATAGTTTATTTAATTTCACTAATCTCATCAGTGTTTTATTTGACATTTTTAGTCCAAATAAATTAAGATAGTCATTGGAATTTATGATTGAGCTGTTCCTCAGTGGATTTGATACATGTTTATAAAAGAAAATTTGCATTTCTAAAAAAGTAAAAACCATTCTGTTTCTGATACTTATCTCAGTGACACTTCTGATGCACAGAAAGCAGATGAATATCTTTCCCAATAAATCCGAGTGTCTGTTCAATGCATATTTCAGTGTGCAATTTCTCAGTGGTGGCTTTCATATGCAGAATTTTTTCTTCACTGTAACAGCACTTAAGAAATAATAATAAGAGTAACTGTCTAGATAAAAGCATAAATTGACATGCTATGTAATTGTTCGTGAAAACAAAACAGTAAAGCACGTAGAAATGTTTGTGATATACCTTTAGCTTAACCCAGAATCCATTGGAGTAGATGGATTGATCCTGTACCAGGAAAGTTACTTTCTTGTTATAACAAGTCTCAAGGTACTTGGCAAAGAGATTTTAATTTTGTCGGTAGTTTACAGTGGATGACTTCAAGATAGTTCATGGTAGCAGATAAAACTTACAGCCAGCAGGCAGAGACCTCCAAGGCAACAAAGTTTGTGAGAGCTCCATTTTTTTTCTCTTTTGCAAGAGATTTTACACATAAATAAGTTCTGAAATCCCATAATACTTAAAGAGGATGTGAGAGTTATTACTGGGAATACAAGCAATATCATGAAGTCATTTAAAATCTGCACACTGCCAGAAGTGTGGATTATAAAAAGGAGAATCTGAGAACTGGAAAGCTTTTGGGAAGATTTAGCATATTTAAGATGTAAAAATTACTTTGCTGACTTATTTAGGGAGCCTGCATGGGTTGAACAGGAGCTGGAGCAGCATGCTGCCAAAGGTAGGATTACCTGGGGGTTTTTTGTTTGTTTTTGAATTTCTGACAGTCCAAATACTTAATAATCTTGGAAGTTAGTGAGCTTTAAATCATTCTTAAATCATTTTTCAATATCTTATAAGAGAGAGCAAAAAAATCTGTTATTTGCTAAAATGGCCATAAGTGCACTGACAACAAGGTGACTGCATCTCTTTTATGTTATTGGGTATTGCAGGATAGTATTTCTGTCTTTCAAGAGGAGAACATAAGCAAATCTCATTATTTCTGTAAATTTGACTTGCACTAATATTAAAGATGTCTGGAACTTTTTCAAAATCTTGTTTGCTATATTAAATATCATGAGGTATTAAAATGAGATTTAATATAGGTGAGAATACATTTTCTAATAGAACTAAATATGACTTCTAATTATGCTCTCAAAAACCTAGACTTTAGTGTTACAGATTTTTTTAGAATTTAATTATAGTTATATCAATAATATAAATATATTTTTTGAACATAATTGGATACAAGTATGAATCACAGAGCTGGGAAAGAACTCAAATACATTTTGAAAATTAGTACAGAAGAAAAGACAATTTTTTGAAATGGTTCTGATATAGATTATAGGATGTAACTAAATTTAGTGAATATTCAAATATATATGGAAACATGCTATAATAATTAGCCTTTGAGAAGTCAAACTACATGCTAAGTTTAAAAAAAGGAAAGTTAATAGAAATCTAATTTAGCCTGTACGCTCAAGAAAACAAAACAGATCTGACAACTATTCTGTGGGTAAAACCTTAAAATAAATGGGTCGCAGATATGAATGAAATTTTTAGTTTTAGATGAAGTTACCTATTGGCTGCCATAGTTAACTGGGATTTTTATATATATAAAATTTTCAGAATTACAAGTAAATTTATGCAGAATTTGAGATAGATCAGCACTTTCTTAACTTACAATTTATAGAATTTGAAATAATTTATTAGAAATTGAAGCTGCTATGAAATTGGAAGACTATAGAAATGAGTAGAGCAATGAACTAACTACTCAAAACCATCAAGACCAAACATTTGCCCATATTGTTATAAAATCTGTAGTTTGATGCTGAGAAATAGTGCTGCATTTTCTTATTTCCCCTTCATTCAGAGTGAGGCTTACAGAACTAATCTTATTTCTTCTCTCAGTATCACATGGAGAACCTATCACACCTTCTCCCTATTATTTCCCTTTTCTTTTACAATATATAAGCTAACTAACACATATCTGATATGCTAACTTGTTTGGGGTTTTTTTCTAATGGTCTTAAACATGAAAGCATTTGCTGTTGGAAAGTGTTCAAAACTTAGGCAGCCTAGAAATGTAGTATTGCCTACTTGTCACATTCAGGTAGTGGGACGGTGAGAAAGTACACAAGGGGTAAATAGACATTAAGTGATGTGCTGAGGGGAACATAGACATGAAGTGATGTGGTGAAGGCTCCAGCCCCAAACTGAAGAACTGATCACAAACAATCAAAGGTTATCTTTGCCTACCTTGACTTTGTTTACACATGTAATTTCTTATTTTACCTCATAGCTGACAGTTTTGGGACAAACCAGGGTGAACCTTTCTGCCTGATTTTATCTCCAGTGATGTAGTTGTACTAGGCTATAAGGGTTTCTCATGAAACTAGCTGCATACAAATATGCAACTACCCATCTATGTAGTGTCTTGACTAGTTAGCTGGCTTATTTTCATTAGCAAAGCTGTAGCAGATTTCAGTATGAAGTCTACCTAAATCACTTCTCAAATAAAAGATTTCATATCTGAATAGATTAGCTCAAGATGGAATACAAAGAAGTAATAGATACACGTTTCATGTTATGTAATTTTTGCTGACTTCACATATTTGTAACATATTTGAGGCTCAAAATCAGTGGGTGAGACAAAGCCGGATGAAAACTGTGAGAGTTTGGCCTCATTGCTATTTGATTAGCAAGGGCAGTATCATCTTGTACTGAAGTTCTAGTTTATAATGTAAAAGACACGGTTGCTTGATATGGGGTGAGATCAACACTCAGACATCATGTTGAAGGCTGAGGCCAGCATGGAACAGTTTCACACAGAGACCAGGTCCCAGAAAGGAATGGAGCAGTCAGCATGTGTGCCCTGAGCCCCTGGATCTGTACTGCCAGTCTAACCTGGACTGGAAGGGCAGGGATGTGGCTGCAGGATGTGATATGTGCTATGTAGGATTAACCCATCTGCCTAGATATTGCTATCCATCACTATACTAAAAGTGTTTAATAAATAAACTCTAGGTTATGTCAGAATGATGGTGTGGATCTGTTCTCAGAGGAACTGCAACCAATTATCTCATTACAAGAGTTAATTCCTTTTTAAATAGAAAATGTCTTGGTAAAAGTGTTTTCTTGTCCAACAGTTTATGTGGCATGATTCTTCTCTTCAAGAGAATGTGAAGCATTAGAGTTTAAAAATAACCACAAGCAAACAAAAAGCCCACAAAACCAATTGTTAATTGTTAAATAATGAAAAGGATGGAGAGTGGTTCAGGGAATGCTTCTCCATTTCTTTACTGGGTTTCTTTTCTGTATTTTGTAGTTCTGAAAGCTTTCATGTACTGGATAATTTAAATAAATTTAAAAGAAAAAGCAATGGACCTATTTCAGCGCTTTCAAAAGCCCACAATGATAACCGAATATCAGGCAAAGGTTTTCTGAAAGTTTTCAGATTCTTCAGATGTTCTGAAAAGTATTCTTTACGTTCTTCTTTAACTGAGTTTATTAAATAGCTCTTAGTCACAAATAGTTCCTTATGACTTTGATGGGAAATGCACTGTTTATTTTGGAAATGCTTGCAGTGTTGCTGCTATATGATGTACATTCCATTAGTGGCTGTTTCCCCCGCCCTCCCCCCCCACCCCCAACAGCTTCTGTGAATTATTTGAGACAGAGTAAAAAGTAAATTATTATTACAGTATATGTTATTATTCAAGACAGTGAATCCTGTTTTCCTGTCTTCCTATGGAAAGCAGGCTTTGCCTGCTTCATTGGATTTAAAAGAAAAAAGTCAGAAAAGCTGCTGAAGCTCTGCAATGACCATATAGTATGCACATGAATCAAATTTAGAATCTATTTCTCAATTATTAATATTACATTTTTTCAGAACTTGTGTTCACATTGATTTTATTCTGTGGTTCCTTAAGCCCTACTCAATTCATCAGTGCCCACAGTGTGGATCTTTATACTCCTACACATTTCCTCTAAAGCTAATGAAGAAATCCTGGATGTAGAAATCTGTATTCATCATTTTGGTTTAAAACTGTGTGTATTCAAACACACACTTTTGCAGTCTACATGCTATGGATCTTTGAAGCTTTCAACTTATGAGTCTAAGAATTCATTTCTTGAGAGATATTTTCACCAAGTTTTTTGGATGATTTTTTTGGTTTGTTTTTTTTTTTGTTGTTGTTGTTGGTCTTTTTTTATGAAAGAATACAGTGAATGGAAAACCAGAAAGGTTCAGATCTTTGCTAGGAGATTCTGTTGTTTTGTAGTTCTGTACAGTAATGTCTGCCACATTCTTATGTACACAATATGGTTGGGATTGAGTTAATTTTCTTCATACCAGCCCCTGTGAATATAAGCTTTGGATTTTTGGCTTAAACAGTGTTGGTAAAATTTCACTAATTTGGCTATTGCTGAGTAGTTCTTGCAAAAAGTGCTCTCCTCCCTACTCTGCCCTACTCCCCAGCCAAAATTAGTAAGATGGCTCAGGCAAAGGATGGAAGGAGACACGGCTGGGACATCTGGCATTCCATACCAGATGATGCCATGCTCAGAAATAAATGCTGGTGGAAAGGGCAAGAAAAAGGAGTGAGTACCCGTACAGGCATTTAAAATTGATTATTTTAATTTTAAATCTCTAAAATAATTTTTTAAATTAAATTTAGGCAAATTCTCTTAAAGTATGTCCCCTTTCTCTTTCATTTTGAATCAAGTACTTTTTAAGAAATAAAAACATCAAATAGAAACCAAGAAACAGTATTTGCAATTCTATATTTTTTTCACGATCATAGTAGTCCTGATTTCTTACTTGAAATAGTGATCTTAAAAGTATTCTATTTCATATTTCATACTCACTCATTTTCCATCGTGTATAGAAAGGTCTTGAAAGTAATTTAAGAAGCAATTACTCAAATAATTGTTTTATGATATATAACTGTGATGAAAGGTAGAGCTGAAAACCTTTTATTTTCTCTATCTTCCAAAGTCCTCAAGATGGGGTTAAAAGAAAAGCATAATGACCTAAAAGTTGTACATGACAGTGCCAGGCTTTTTCCCCATATGTTTGTCTTATACGGGATCTGATAAATGGTCAGTTATGGTGCAAGTGGATGGTAATAGTTATTAAAGGCCTCATATAGATCTGTAGACCATGATTTTTGAAAAATGAATGTCCATATATTTTTATTCTAAGTCATTTGGTTTCGGAAGCAAAAAGTCATGGTCAATCACACAGAGATATTGGAAATTAATTATCATATTTAGAAATATGAGTTTTCTCTCAGGCCAAAACAAAATAAAAAATCTTGGATATCGCTGGAGTTATTCAAGGTAATTAACTTGAACTGTATTCCCTACTTGTACACATTATTTTTCAAATAAATTACTGAATGTTTTTCAAAGGAAATTTTTAAGATCAGGAAAGCAGAATTGAAAGATATTATAAATGATCCTTTGCAACAAAATGAAAAACCATAACAGATGTATTATAAGAGTAAAAAGAAAAAAGAGTAAAATTGTTTACCAATTTTTCCTATATATTGTCTGAGAACTGAAGAAGTACAGGACAGCCTCTGTGCAATAAGGAATGATTTGACAGAAGCATAACATTGCAGGAGAGGAAAAATTGATTTATTAAGCTTCCTTGTAGGACAAACCTACAGAGAAAACATTAGACTGGGCTGTTCCAACATATAGACAGTTGAAGAAAGTCTTGAAGCTACTGCTGCAAAAATGCCTTCAGAAACATTGTATCTCCAATGACTTTGGCCTAAATACTTCCATAAAGTAGACTAGAAACTCCTGGAGTTTTCTATAGACCTGTCTGCATACATGTGTGCCCCTTCATTCAGCTACCAGGTGGTTTGATCCCCACCCGAGCCACAGAGACTCAGAGATCTGAGCCTCTTCACTGTCCCTTCTCTTTGTCAGTGATCCGCTAGGTAAAGATGTGAACAGAAAGATGGATGTGGAGAAGTGTGCTCAGGTAGAGTTACTACTCTCCATTAACTTTTACCTGGAGAATTTCAGATCACAGGGAGTGAATCATCTTCAGGCTAATGTTGACCTAAAATCCTTGTGTTAATAACACTAAGTAGAGATAAGGGATTTAAACCTGTTTCCCAGAGCTCATAGTTCTATTTTTACTGTTGAATACCTGCCAGTATGTTGTTATTCTAGATATGAAGGGATGGGTCAAATTCCCATTACAATCTTTGGAAAGTTTCCTAAATATTTCTGTGGATATTCATGCATACCAATAGTACATGCATCAAATCACACCAAAAGCAGTCTTCAATGGAGTACCAAATCTCCAACAAAAGAAAAATATTGACAATTAGAAGTAAATTGTTTCCCACAAGCAGGATTCATTCAATAAAATTGTCAAATACTATCTGCATTATGAAGAGGCAAGAATCTATTTACAGGACATAATTTCTGTATTATATCTAGAACGCTATTAAGCTTAACAGTACTCACCACAAAATCACAGAATAGTTTGGGTTGGAAGAGATCTTAAAGATCTTCTAATTTCCAACCCTCTGCCTTAAGAAGGGATGCCATACATTAGATCAAGTTGCCCAGGGCCCCACTAAACCTGGCTTTGAACACTTCCAGGGAAGGAGCATTCCCACCATCCCTGGGAAGCCTGTTCCAGTGTCTCACCACTCTCACACTAAAGAATTTCCTTCTAACACCGTATCTAAATATAGCTTCTTTTAGCTTAAAACCATTCCCCCTTGTCCACAGACTTAAAAATTAGTTTAAAAAATGTTCACTTTACACTGGGGATCATAATCTGGAAACAGAAGAAACAAAATGTCTTGGAAATTGCATCATGACTATAGGCTAACAATATGATGGAGTTATAAAAAGAAATATCTATTTATCCTAGGTTATATCAGAATATTTCCTGTAGTCAAAATCCCTCTTTCTACATGATAAATCTATAAGAGGTTTCAGAGGTCATTTTCAGAAAATATTTTCCAAGAGTAACTTCTGCTGCAACTATGTCTAGATTTCATTTAGTTTCACCAAAAAGAATGTTATGCCAGCCATGCGTCCTTGCTGCAAAGAAGGCGGACAGTGTCCTGTTCTGCCTTAGGAGAGCTCAGCAGATCAAGGGTGCTGAGAGAGCAGCCCCAGTGAGATGCATCTGGAGTGCTGGGTCCAGGTCTGGAGCAGACCACTGAGATTCTGAAGGGCCTGGAACATCTGTCCCCTGGGGAAAGGCTGAGAGAAGTTGAACTGTTTAGCCTGGAGAGGAGGTTGTGGGTGTATGAGTTCTATGATCTTAAATGTAGACCCTTGTTCAGTGATCTTTGGGCAGGAACCTTTCCTGCTTTATTTTAAACAAATTATTCAGCCTCGTTTATTTTAGAATGGGTCATTTCATGGCCTCAGTTTATTAACTCTTGACTGCCTAGCTTGAAATTAAAACTGGCCCTAAAAAGCATTTCTCATGTTTGAAACTTTTAACTTCATTGTATAGTCTTGTTCTTTTAATGAAAAAACCTTTTTATAAATCTAGCTACACATAATTCAGCTGCAAGCTATTTTCTTAATTTTATATTTCTCTGACAAAATTCACCTGATTAAGCAAAAACCATATTTTTATTGACTGAAATGCTCAAAATGTTTAGAACAAGCAACAAGCTTTCAAAGAAACATCTGTTCAGATTGAAATACCATTTTTTTCTATCTCAAGCCTTTGCCTTTGTGCTCTGCTATTTTTTGCTTTGCTCTTATTTATTAATGAGAACTACAAATATGCTTTAAAGCAATTTAGTATTTTGTTTTGAATTCCAGTTCCTTAAACTACTATTTCTACAACTTTCTAGCAGGCTTTACTATGTTTTCTGAACAAAACTAAATGATGAAAAATAACTCATCTGTCTGAAATGGACTTCTAGATAATTTTTTTCATGTTCCTTTATAATAAAGTGACAGAATGATACCTTGCAATAGTGCATTCTGTAATTTCTAGGCTTATACCTATAAATGGCACTTGACACCTAAAAATTATTCCATTCTGTACATTTTTTACTTGCGTTTTTTAATTTTTGCAGGAAGGGGAGAGTTGCTGTGCTTTTGACAAGGTTTCAGAGGCAGAGGAGTTTGATGACATAAGGTAAACTTTTCGAGTTCTAATGTAATGTCACTGTCAGAGCTTTGTTTTTTCTTAGGCCTTTGATATAGAAAAAGTTCTTGTTCCATGATACTTTGGAGACTGAAGCATTGTGGTAGCATGGGAGGGGATCAAAATACTGTGTTGAATAAGTAGAAATATTTTTGAGTAGTTTATCTGCTTAGTTTTCCTTTCATATCAGGAAGTCAAAATTTCTTGTGTGTTGATTAATTCATATTGCAAGTCTAGGGAAAAAAACAAGTTGTTCCATTAGCCTAACTTTTTGTTTAATTTTGCACTTAGCAAGAAGATTGTTTTTCCAAAGGGATTCCTGTAGAGGTACTTACCTACTGTGTCTGGCCTCTTTACACAAGTACAGTGCACATTTTTTCCACACAAAATTTCCTGTTGCGATGGTTTTTAGCCCAGATTTTCCTTTAGGAGAATGTCATGCTGAAATATAAATAACTTTCAATCATTTTGCTGCTTCTAATACCAGTTTTGTTATAAAATGCAATCTTCACTAAAAGGATGGGTTTTTTCCATAGGAAAATAGAGATGTTTTCTTCTGTAAATTTTTATGAAAGTCTACTAGTTGTTTATGCTTGTCTGTTTTTATAAATTATCAAATAGTTTGTCATCTATTAAAAATGGATACTGAGAAATCATGGAAACTAGAATTCTCTTTCAGTAAATGATTTTAGAAAAGCCATTCTGGTGTGACATTGGCAATAGAAAACTATAAGGCTCTGTAGATAAATCTCTGTAAATTAATTTTTTTAAATTTTGTTTTTTGAAGTATTTATATACATAACAAAGTAGCCTTACTGTGATAAAACAAAACAAGAACAAAAGACCATCTATAAAGTTGAAAATGAACAGCAGAAGTGGAATATTTACAGAAACACTGGAAAACCTCTTCCTGCTTGCTATTTATGCCTATTTATGCCTATTGCTACATTGCAAACATCTGTCTTTATGCCCTGCAATTTCAAAGATCCTAAAGTAGTTTGGTTTAACATGTGTATATAGTCCTCTTAACTATAGAAGGAGCTAGGCACATGTTGTTATAGGCCATTTGGTTCCTTTCACTCTTGAATGGAAGTGATTAGTCCAGTAATCATTTTAAAAACAGTTGAAATGTTTTTACTGCCTAGAGAATAATTTTTCTGAACTGCTTAGGGAACAGTCTTCAAAAAGAAATTCAGTTTAAAGTTAAATATAGATGATATTACTGTATCTGGAATAGGGAAAACATATTCAGAAGAAAAAGAAGTCTCTACTTCAAGCCAGTGAAATAGAACCATATGACCTAGTGTTTAGGAAATCTTTTGTGATGGTGAAAATTTGCATTCTATTTATGGAACTGATAGCATGCTATTCACTCCCATTTTATCCTAACACTGTCCATGCATTGTACAAGATATTATTTTAAATGAGTGTCAGAGTCAGAAGGGTACAGTTATTCATTCTTTCCTTTGCTCTGTGAATCTAGATTCTTTTCCTTATATAACACTGCAAAGTTTTATTGGAATAAAATGGAGAATGACTTTCTCTTATCCTATTCAAAAAGTCTATTTATTCTTCTGGCAATTATCCAGAAAAATACACATTTTGTGTTAGAATACTCTTCATCAGAGTATTTAGCTTTAATCTGTATTTTTGTATAATGCAATTATTCAATAGGCTGTAAATACAGAAATGTTCTAGAAGTACTCCTGTGTAGTCATCTGCTTCTGTGAGGAACCCATGTGTGTAGAAATGAATCTCCTTGAGACTCAGTTTCCAGTTCTCAGTTGTCTTAACATTCTTATGAATATTTTGACTTTGTAGTGTCATAGTGCCTACCCTGGCTTGGGTTCTATTTTAAGGACAGATTCACAGCTCTAGATTGATTTAGATTTTCTTCTTGCTCTCTTTTTTTGAAGAAGGTATATTTTCTACTTCTGGCAGTAGTAGCTTTACTATTACAAGCAGCACAAAAGCAAAATTATCAGCATTATAATACCAGTGCCTAAACACCATGTCAATAACATTAGCTTAGTAAGTGTTAAAGTAGTGTTATTCCCACTTAACTGACATAGAATTTACACAACAGCAATTGTGGTTTGCTCCGATTCTGAGATTCAACTAAAGATTGAATACAAGCAAGGGTCTTTGAACATTTTCAGAACAGGTGTTTCAAACTGATCATGTTCTTACATATTTGGGCCTGAATAAAGATCCTTATTTTGTTAGGTGTGCTTGACTGGAGGATCTGTAGGATAGTTAATTCACCATTTTAGTTCTCAGAGAAGATATTAATTTACTTCATTGTGGCACCACTCATGAATAGGTGACTGCTAAATAAGAGTGTAAAGCTAACATAAAACAGAAGTTGAAATTGTGATACATGAAAAAAGCCTGCAGCTTGGCCACTGAACTTATGGGATTGTACCAGAAATGCAGAGGATTTTAGGGAATTTTTATGTTTTATTTCCTTTAGATTTTATAGAACCAGCATGACCCAGGGAACTTTCTTTCCGTAATGGATCTTAAAATCACTTCATTAAATCACTACTTTTCTGTTCAACAATTGTGAGTCAGGACCTAGTTATTTCTGGAAGTCTGACAGGCTTTGAAATACAGTTTGCAGTAGGTGAATCCAGCATGAAGTGGGAGTGAATTACAAACTTCTGCAGTATCCCAAAGTACTAGAAGTTTTTTTTTTTGTGAACATAGCATGATAATTACTCACCTTTAACTGTTGAAGTTCTTATTACTGCAGAGCTTGAACATGTGAAGCTGTATTTAGTCTAGCTGAGATGGAGTTAATTTTCTCCACAGAGCTCTCATAGCTCTGTGCTGTGTATTGGTATCTAGAAAGGTGTTGGTAACACAGCAATGTTTTGCGTACTGCTGAGCAGTGTTCCCACAGCATCAGTGCTGTATCTCCAATATTTCTCCTCCCACCAGTAGAGTCTGGGGGGATATCATCTACCCAAACTGACAAAAAGGGATATTCCATACTGCAAAAACTTTGCTCAGACATAAAAGTTAAGAAAAAAGAGGAGGAAGGAAATAATTCATTATTATGACATTTGTCTTCTAGAGCAACTGCTATGCATGCTAAACCCTGCATCCCTGGAAGGGTTGGACATTGTTTGATAATGAGAATTAGAGAATAAAATATATTGATTTCTTTTCTTTTCTTTGTGCACTCAGCATTGCTTTTGCTTTAAGAATCTGCCTTTATCTTGATGCACAAGTGTTTATTTTCATCTTAATTTCTTCTTCCTTGTCCTGCTAAGGATCAGAGTGCTAGAGCAGTGTGGTAGGAAACTAGCATTCAACCAAGGCCAACCCATCACAGAACCACAGACAACAGTTCTGAGATGCAAGGTCAGAACTTTTAGCTGGAAAAGTACCAAGTAGGTTAGTTATCCATAAGCTGATGTGATAGGTTACACCTTAGAAAATGTGTTCTACAAAGAATAAAATACTGGGCAGGAAGCAGTGTTAGCAAGAAATAACAAGCTTTGTTTAACTTTTCAAGGCTTGAAGACTTTTCCAGTTTTGTCTGTCTTAATCTTAGCCTGTCTGAAGAAAATTAACTTGTTTAACCATATAATTAGTTTACTAATTATTACTCCGTTTATTATCAGTTTATTAATTAGTACTTTATTTTTTAAATTTTAATTCAGATTTATACAATCATGTGATGTGTTTCTTCTATAGATGCTAGTAGAAAGTAATTGTGCTATATAGAAGGAAATATTTATCACACTAACAGTAGTCACAATATAAATACAGATATCATGGAACAACAGCAGTCCTGAAAGAGACACACAGCAGTGGAAAAGACTGCAGATATATAATATATGATATGGTATGGTATGATTGATATGATATGACTATGATATGATATGATATCATATGATATGATATGATATGATATGATATGATATGATATGATGTGATGATATGATGATATGAAAAGGAAGGCATAGGATTATAAAGGAGATCCCATAGCTATAAATATCTCACCAGTAGTCATTTAAAAAAATGTAGACTTGATTGCTGGGCAAAAGTAATTTCTGAGATCAATAAAGAAAAATTTAAAATACTTAACATATGTAAGATTCTCCATATATTTGGCTATAAAGTAGAATTTTAATCAAGAAAAGCAAAATGAAAAGCCTTTAATACTATTTTTAATTATTTTTTTCATGTTATATAAAAACTAAATGTGGGCCAACAATCATTGATTAGTCTTAAGGGTTTCAACAAAAAAAATTGGCTTTGCATGTCGAAGAATATTTCCTGTCTTTCTCAGTTCCTGCCAAACATTGCACTTAACTGATTTCAATGGAGCTGTGTTGCTTTGTAGCAATTAGAAAAATGGGTTATGTTGTTGGAACTCTTCCAGTGTTTTCAATGTCAGAAGCTGATTTCCATTGTCAACAATTTGATGCATTCTTAAAATTCATCATCTTAGGATATTCTCTCTGGAAACAGAAAAAAGAGTTTACCCTCCCTTCAGCTTTTTCTTAAAGGAGAGATAGGGCTATTTATCACTGCATATTCAATTGGGCAAATGTAAAATTGCTGTCCTCCAGTACACAGAGAGTATGTTACCATACGATTAACAGGGCACAGCCTTGCAGTAAGTATGCAGAGGCCTAGAATTTTAACTGGCCCTGCTTGCTTTGTGTAAACTTGGCCTATCTGGAACAGTTTTGACAATCTCTGTAGCTGCTAAAAAGATAACTATATATTATATAATTTATTTCAGGTTTAGCTTAGCATAATTTTTTACTGCAACACCTACTGTTATAATAACTTTTTTGTTTCTTGTAGTTAATGGCTACTAATTCTGTTCTATTAATATTATTCTGAGAGATAATAATAAGCGGTACTTATGCTGGAGAAAATTAGTTACCTATAACTCTAGAGTAATGACATAAAGATATACACCTTGAATGTCTGCACAAAAGATAAGAACAGAATCTCCAGGGCTATAA